TGTATATATATATATATATATATATATATATATATATATTTAGAATATGAATGCAAAGATGCAAAAGATTATACATAAAATATACATAAAAGATCACGCGAATGATAATTTACTAATATAGTTTACTAATATATACCATATATTTGATAACCTCAAAAACGAAACAGTGTGTAATTCTCGTAAAAAAAATTAATTTGAAGAATAATCAAATCTCAAAAATTTACGATTCTAAAAAAGTAATGAGATCGTAAAATAAATTGGACATTAGACAGAAAGATAAGTTAAAAAATCAACTTGAGATAATATTTTAAATATCAATCATGATGTTATTAAAAATATTTTGTATATTTTAGCTATAGTTCGATATTTTTGTTGATAAGAATAAGTAAATAGAATGATATATAGTAACTTTCAGTGATATTAGAGCAATTAAGATGTTTCCGATACTTTTTATAATTTATTATTACATTTCGTTATTATATGAAATATATAAATATCACATACTTGCTGAAGAAAAATGACGTAATTTTAAAAATTAAGATTTTAGATAGAGACTTTAGATAGATCAAATCGATATAAGAACACATAATTTAAAAATATCATATTAAAATGTCAAATTAAAAATTCACAATTTTTTTTCAAATTATTTTAATTATTAACCTAATTATTAACAATAATTCAATAAGTGCAAATTTTGAATCATATTTTTCTAATGTGTTTTATATATTTTTATTAAAAAAACATTGAATGAATCGTTAATAATTAGATACTAAAAAAAAGAAAGATTGATTTTTGACTTACCTACAGGGATCCCAGGTGAGGCCTCCGGGACAATCTTCATCGGTGAGAATGTCACACTCGAAGGGTGAACAGACACAGGAGAGAGCTCTCGCAACTGCGACCGAGAATACCACGATGCCCCCCAGCAACAGCAACGAGGCCCTCATTTTTCACTTCTCCGCCGTCGGTTTCTTCTCTATTTTTTATCTCGTTTGTCTGCTTGGTCGCGCACGATCGTGGACTCAATTCAAAAATGTCGCCTCTTGAATCGCGAACTTAGTTCATCGCGAAACAATTCGCCACGACGTACATCTCAGCTCCGGTATGTCAATCGCACACCTAAGCACATTCTTCTATCGTAGCCAGACAACGATCAATTTTTTTTTCACGCTAAGAGAAGACCAAGTTTCTTTTTATAAAGTAAGATACAATCATCGACTTTATCACTACGAATTTTTTTAAAATATATGTATATAAACACTGCGAACTAACCTCCTGATATATGATATAATGATAAACACACGTTCTAGGTGTTACGATTGAAACACAAATCAAAGAATAAGAAAGCTTTCAATAATTATACTAATAATATTTCATGATATTGACAAATTTTGCGTGCAATTACAAACTTTAAAAATATTTGTGTTCAACAATTGTTTTTCTAGATTGTTATAAATCATTTTCATTTAAGCAATTTTACAATGCTAAAAAAGATTAAAAAACATGAAAAGTAGAAGAAATTCTTCTAATTTCGGTAATATTTAATGAAACATATTCATATATATAATCGTTTATTCACCAGATAGTTGTCATATTCGATTTCATAACCGAAAGAAGAATAGCAATCGATGAAGCATTTCGATAAATCGATGGATCATAATTTGTGATTAAACATTTTTAAAATCTCATCTCAGTTGTGATCGTATTAATTATTGATATAAAAGGATAGATGAACGTAGAAAAAACCGCAATGCCGCATACATGATACTACACGTTCAAATTTCAAATTGTATTAAACGTAAAAATACTTTTAACGTGCACTATGTAAGTAAACGCGTCAGAAAATTCTATGCGTTCTCAAAACTATATTTCCCGACGGATGCATCCATGATAACAAGAATCGCGACGTACATACATTATGAAAACACACACGGAAACAACTCAAGATGAAATATTCGTCGAGTTGTTCGTTGCCGTCCGAACCTGTGCGCTCTTGTTGCGCTCCCCGATGATTTAACGCTTTACGTTCACGAGATTCTCCCAAACATTGTGAATATTGCGAACACTAAGAACGTTGGAACTATAGTAAACATTAAACTTAAATCATTGATTGACAATGATCTTTTCTTAAACTTTCCATTAATGTTCTATCAAATTTTCTCTTTCATCAAAGAAAATTTTGTAAAAAGAAAATATGAAACATGTAGAGGCTAAATAAAATCCACGAAATATTTATTGTATTCTAATTCGTTTGTCGAACAAAATCCACAAAATAGGATAAATCGAATGTCAAAAAAACAAATTGCGAAAACGTGTGTCTTTAACGAAAAGAGAAATTGATTTTATGATAAAAAAAATTATTTACGAGAAAGATGCGTAATAAGTCGCATAATAATCCTGACTTTCTTTCATTGATACACTCACGCTAACAGTAACATCGTGCACAACCGAAAAAATGTTTCTTCGCAATAAATATAACCGACACGCTCTGTGTTCAAGACGAACGTGTACTGGCGAACAATCGGCGTCTACGCGGCGTCGACCGTTTCGACGCCTTGCGTCGGCGCCCTGATGTCGCTATCGTTTCTTCTCTTATAAACCATTCCTTTACCTAATATTTTTCTACTGAACAATCTTGTTTCTTTCATTGTGTCTGAACATACAAACGTTTATATTAATTTTTATAAATTAATGTTTTTACATTAACAATAACCGATTCAAAATTATTTTTCATAATCGTAAAATATGTTGATAAAATTTTATTAACTACATTTAATGAATAATTATTAACTACATTTAATGAATAATAAAATTCTGTAAAAAAATATAGTTTACTATATCTAGTATATCAAATAGATTAATCAATTAACGTTCTTATATGATTATATTTAATCACAGATTACAATAATATATTTGATAAACAAATCAATGTTTTGCTAACTGCTCTTTTCCTTTCATTTTATTTTTTTTGAAAATGATTTTTCTTTTGCATAATCATAAATTTTTATTTTTAATATCTATCTGACATCGACATTTACTATCCATACAAAAAAGATTTATTTTTTTGATTTATTTATTTTTGATTTCGCATTTTTGTAAATTATTTTCATTGTGTTAAATATAATTATCTATTATACTTAAAAAATTCACATTTGATCTACATATAATTATAAAAGTTAACTTAGATAATATAGCGTAAATAAATATTCGCCAATTCATTACTTTATTTGTCAATAAAATTGTATTGTATGATGCAAATATGTTATTGTTTGCTATTTATTCGTTCATTTAATTAAACAATCTATTACTTAGTAATTTTGAATATTATTTAAAATATATATTCTTAGTTGTATTAAAATTAATAAAAAAGCATCTAAATAATGAAAATAGTATTTATTTTTTATGAAAATTATGTTTTGTAAAAATTATTTTTCTTAATCCATGAACTGCGCGCCAATTCTTGGCGGGAAATCTACAGCAGTATAACCAACATGAACCCTAGGGTCCCTAATCATTTCTATTTTAACATATATAAATCAATAATCCAATTAACTGAAAGCTGTTCGAATGTTTATATCAGTCGTTAAATTTTGTACATTGATCGAGGTTATGTCTCGATTATTGTTTATAGTACATATTAATCTTGAATTATTATTATTATCAAATAGAAAGTAATATTAAATAATATAATATTATATATTTAATTGAATTTCATATAAGATATTGACAAGATATTTTATATGCTTTATATAAATTAATATAAATCTATATATTGGAGATGGAAGTACCTATTGTAGAAAGTTTACCGTAAGTAAATAATATTTAATTATTCGATTAAAGAAATGTTTAATCTTTAGATTATTTTAATTTTAAAAATAATTTATTTTTCATGTTATGGATTACCTCTATAATTAAAAAAAAAATATATATATATATATAAATCTTACAAATTAAGTTATTGCAAGGAATTATGGTTTTTAATATCGGATACAGTATGTCGGTGTGAAAAACAACTAGTAGAAGATGAAATTAAAAAAGAGACTAAACTTCTTAAAGAAGGATTATTATTTTTTAAACCATATACAGAAGCGTCACTTCAAAACATACCTAAAAATGATCCATCCCCTAGAATGTATGAATTAATCAGTAAACTTGCTCCACTTCTTGTATGTATTACAAATAAATTTTATTAATTTTTCTATAATTATCTGGTAAAAAATAATTTATTATTTATTTTAGAACTTAGATGCTATGATTACATGGGATTTAGTATGTAATTTTATAAAATATGAATATAGAAATTGTGCGGAAACTTTTGCATCACAATTAATAGATTTTACATCAATGAAAGCATTGATTGATGATATTTGGGAATTTTATTACTCTGAAAGAATGACCTTGATAAAGTGCCTTAAATTAATGGTTGAATATAAAGATGAAGATAAAGGACATCGTTATCAAAAAGAATTTGCAAAGTTCTTTGATGATGTGCTATTTGGAACTCTATTAGATTCCATTCGAAAACAAATAGAAATGCTAAAAACAATAAATCCACCTTTACGATCACAGCTATGTACAGAAGAGTATTTATACAGATTATACAATAGTAGTCTTATTGAAATGCGAGAATTACTTCATATATTAACAGTCATTATTCATGACATACATATCGCAGATACTGAATTTATGAAGTTTTATGAAAGTATTGGAGTAAGTATTGTATAACTAATAATTAAATATTATTAAATATTATTAAATTACTATACAATGATAATTTAATATTTACAGGGAGAACCAAGACGATTAGCAAGTACAAAAAGTCATGAAGATAAAAAAGCAATTGCCAGGAAAATTCAAGAAATACAATACAGTCAAGTAGCATTGTTAATAGTTGCATTAGATATTAGAAAACAGTATGTTTTTTATACTTTCTATTTTTTTATTAAAATTTTAAATATTATAATGTTAATAAAAATGTATTTTCTTTGTAGCTTTAATATGGAAGATTGGATACATAGTGTGAGAAATAGTATGCAAGAAACCTTTGAACAAAAATGTATTCGTGATAATTTTCCTCAAGATAGTCCACTCTTTTTATCCTGGATGTTAGCAAATTATGCCATCGATCCTGAAAATATTGATACTTTGAATCGATTTAAACATTTTGGTATCAAAGCCATAAAATTAAATGTTTTTCATTACTTGCAAGACTTGATGAATAGCGAAATGATTTGTGAAAAAACTCATTATGCTGAAGTTGTACGAAGTAGTGTATACAACCTTCTTACTTTAGCATGTGCTTTTATCAATGAAGATAAATTAAATGACGAAAATGAAAATGAGTTAAATTATATCTTCAATGCTGTTGCTGCTACAATTCAATTTCCTGAAACTGCAATGCGATTTTGGAAAGAACATGATGATGGTTTATGGTTGATTTATAAATTTGCAGTTGAACAATTTCCATACGAATTTGAACCATTAACAAATATTGCAATTGGATTAGCATCTGCATCGGAATTGAGTGCCGAAAAAATCGCAATAGAATTGGATAATCTTCCATCATTAACATTAGAAGTACCGAGACAACGAGACTATAGCAAACCATTCAAACCATATGAACAAGAATGTGTAATTCACAGAAATTCATATGCTATATCAGAAGATTGCCCATGTGAAAATATACGTATATTGTCAAGTGGATCCGAAGTAGTGATATTCCGACAAAGAGCAAGTTATTGGCATGCTTTACATCACAAAATAGAACAGCTGTTTTCCCAAGCAGGTGGTGGAATTACAGGCTGTAATAAAATGAATAAAAATTTGCCAGAGTATGTTTCACAAGGTTTAAAATTGTTAAAAACATTAGCTAAACACATAGAAATATGGAATAGAGAAAATATGGTTATTCCAACAGAATTAAGTTTTGAAATCATAAACAGATTTTCTTATCCTGTATTACCTGAAGAAAAAATGTATATATACAAAATAGTTGCAGCTTGCATCAGTATTTCATCCGAACTTGTATTAGAATATCCAGAAGAAATTTTGTCTCGAATGCGAGCAGGTGTCTATCCAAGATTTAATAATCGGTATCAAAAAACATTAGATTTTGCTGAAGCAGTTTCCTTCGATGGTGGTATAATTGCGTCATGGTTATCTGCAATAGAAACGATCGCTCATTCTTATCCAATTTTGAATGCATATTTAGATATTTTATCAAAATATTTAATCAGAAAATACAACGAGGAAGCTCTATATACAATAGAAATACCTGGCATGGTGTTTTTATTGCAAGGTGTTTTACCAAAATTAGATTTCTGGTATTTCGATTCGGATGCAGAAAGAACTGACTTGTGGTTAAAAAGCATGTTTTGTCTTCATAGAGCGCTCGAATCTAGTCTACCAAAAGAAGATATACGTAATGAATTACAACTTGTTGTTGCATATAGTTTATTGTATTTAGAACCACGACATGCTTTACTTAAATTAATTCGTACTGGCGAACGTACTTTACATAATAAAATGATGGCAGAAACAGATTGGATTCGCGGAAAAGGTTTCAAAGCAATCAAAAGTGTACAATTAGCTTTATCTGTAGTAAATAGATTACTTATATTCCGAAAATCCCTGGGTTTAGAAATAGGAGAGAGATCACCATTAGAAGCTGCATTATATTCTTCACCTCGTGTACCAAATGGACTTTTAATAGTACCTACAATTGTAAATTATTTGTATGTTTGGTTCAGTCCACCTTTACAAGCAATGGCTGTTAGATTATTAAAAAAATTTGCTGAAGGATCATCTATGTCACTTTTAGTTTGTATGGGTATGGACGGTACAGCTATACGAGAGACTTTCGCTTCTCGTAGAGGTCTTATGTCACCAACTTGTGTCGCAGATGTCAAAGTTGCTATTCTTGAACTAGTTGCTGTATGCTTAGAAAAACAACCTGGTCTTACAGAAGCTCTCTTTAATATCGTACATCCAGCAGAATGCAAACGAATCTTTCCTCGATCGGTAGAAGAATTTTTTACTGAAGGATGTAGACAATTTTTAGTTAAATATTTAAATCGAATCTATGAAAGAGACGATATTGTTAGCGACAAGTTGTATAATAGCACAATGGCGTTATTACGAGCAATGTGGTATCATAGAAATGAAATTCTTGTAAATTTTTTTCGAAAACGCGAAAATTTTTGGACTCACCTTTTTGCTCCGCTTTTCAGAGAAATATTACCAGGTGCAAAAGGTTATTCTCATTTGCTAGATATAATTACTTTAGAATTGTTCAAAAGTACTACATTGGAAGATGATTTTACTATGAATCTGAAAAAATTATTGGACAAATCGAAAGATTATTGGAAAAAATTGGCAATATACATACTTGATGATGTACATACTGTTAAACAAGAATCATTAAACAGTTGTGAGAAGCGAGATATTAATATTACAGATTCGTTATATGAAACTAATTTGGAATCTTGGTACAATTTTATTGTCACATTAACTGATGAAAGAATAGCTATGAATTATCCTATTAATGTATCGCAAGCACAATTAATAACGCAACGTTCCTTAGAATCGCTACTTGAACGGATCAAGCAATCTTATGATGTTTCTAGCCGAAAAATTACTATGTTGCTAGCTTCTTTATCGCTTCGATGTATTACTTCTTGGAAACAAATGTGTGTTGATGATTCCAGAATTTTTAAATCTGGATTGACACAGTTAATGCAAGAAATTAGTCAAGCTTATTGCACTTTTGGAAAATCTTTACGTCAAACATTAATTTCTTTGCTTCTCGGATGCGTACAATGCGTGAAAAGTACTTTACGCGAGGATGTATCAAGTCTCGAATATCTTCTATCACATTCCTGTACAATTGCTGCCTGTGAATTAGAGGAGTTAAAAGAAGCTGCTATTCAATTAGAAAGAAGAAAACAAGAACAGCATTTGGTTAAACGAAAAGAGATCGATTGTAAAATAGATACGATTGATAGTGTAACTACACAAAAGAATGCCGAAGAAAGAAATGCAGAAACTGTTCGCGGGATTCGGGAAAGTTTACCAGCAACTTTAGCTGTTTGTATGGTTACCCAAGTATTACGTTCCTATATAGAACGAAATACTACAAAGTGTCAACGAAAATCTAGCTGTGTACAATTTCGACAAATGATACCGGAATTGATGACGTGCATCGGTGTTACTTTACAAAAATATTCATATTTAAGATTTAGCACTGCTGCTCTTAATTTGCTTAATTTAATCATTCGATCTCCTTACGCTTTACATCCGATTAATGAAAATGATATCGCGAAATTATGGTTAAGTTTAATTCCACCCATTGACATTGGAAATAGTATGTTAGATTCATTATACGATGATTGTCCAAATGGACAATGGCGATGTCAGGATTGGTGGCCGCTTTATACACTTGGCCTTGAATTTTTAATAGGACTTGTCACTAGAGAAATGCCTAATGTTTATATCAAATCTATCACAATGTTTCTACATTCTCATGAATATCAATTAATGGTTGCGTCAACTTTATTAAGACATACAGCAGATCTTCTTGCTGCCGATTTGGTGCAATCTCTCGTTGCTCTTATTCATATTATTGCAACGCAACCATATGTTTGGAATTCGATACAACCAAATGTTTGTGAAACTCTAATTAAATGTATGTATTTGGCATATGATAACACCGTAAATCTATTACTAAGACCACGAATTCTTAAATTCATTATTGATGGTATCAGTGTGGAAAGTGCTGAAGAATTAGAATCTTGTGATAAAAGATTGCCAAGTGGTGAATTAAAATTGTTAGTTAACAAGTTGATCATTATAAATACAACCTGTGCGTTAAGTTTCGTTCATTTTTCACCGAGACTAAATACTCTTGTAGATACTATATATACGCAAGATTTTTGCTATACTCCAATGGCTGAAATGAATTTTGGACCACCTCATATGAGCATGAGTTCCGGACCACGATTAACTTATGGCACGATCATTAGTTCGACGCAATTATTTACACAGGCTCTACATTATCGATCTCAGCCCATCAGTTCTTCGTCCGTTTCACTTAGTAAGCAAACAGATAAAACAGACTCTGCTAAGAAAGAATGGGAGCATGCTGCACCAGAAGATCGGCGAATGCATTCGAGCAAAGATCTTAGAAGGATTATTCATGCGGCATCTGGTTCCACGTCAAGATCCTCTTCTAATGTAGGAAGTGAATTTTTGGCATATGTAAGTGGCTTAGATGTAACTGTGCCGTTATTAAGCAGTCCAAGACTTGTACGCAGACCTTACGATCCTCTTATTTGCGAAAATACTATTCTCTCAAGAGCAACAGCCTTAACAAGCGGTAGACATGTAACAAAAGGAATATCAAACAGTGATAGCCCTGTTGTAGCAAAGTATCAAAAATTTAGCGATCCTTGGTTTGAATCTATGGATGAAAATAATACCAGATTTGCTCTTGAAATTAATCTCGTATTGATCTTGTATCAAGCTCTGGAAGGAGTTAGAAGTCCAAGAATCGCTCTTCGAGATCGACAATTAATAGCGCGCGAAACAGTGACTGAATTAGGAGTTTTCTTTGATTTTCTTGAACATCGGGGTACACCTGATGACTGGCAAGTTAAGGGTTCTCTAATCAATTCTGATGCTAAAAGCATAAGGACTATTCAACAAACTGTTGACTTCAATCAAACCATCTTACCCGCTAGATTAAAAGAAATACAAGGAACTATATTCAAAGAGAATGTGCACACTACAGGAAAATACGCAATCAATATTAATAATATACAATTTTTATCTTTGATGGGAAAGTTATTTAAGACTGTTGTGGAATCTTTAGATTTAACACAATATCGATAACAACTGGAATTTCGATAAATATATGTGCTTTAAATTCAAAAGAAGAAAAAAGCGAAAAGAAATTATTTAATACTATACAAAAAACTGATTTATAATATATGTTGGAATTCGCAATAAAATAACAATTTTTATTATAATTTTGTGTTTAGTATGTGTAAAGGATAAAAAAATTAATTGCAAGGATTCACAAATGTACTTAAAATTTCTTTTGTGTGGATAAAATAATGATTGAGATAACAAAAAGTCACATTTAACATATTGTGCATCCTTGATGAAAATACAAAAAAAAGAAGTATATATTCATCAAATTTCATTTAATTTAACCATTTCAAATTACCAAAATCCTATTTCTTTCAAATTTGTAAATCATAAATTTTTGTACAATCAGTAGTAGCAAGAATTAGATACGTGTTTTAAATAACGATTATTATTTTTTATAAATTTGTCTGTTACTACAATTCTGTAATTGTATCGTTCATTCGCTTTAATAACATTTAATTATTTATAAATCTGAAAATGCGAATCATTTAGACACATTTTAAACTTATATTCTTTTTGTAAATCTACAGGATCATCGGGAATGGTTATAGGAAAGTAGAAAGCAGAAAGTATGGAAAAAGCTGTAGTAATTTATGTTCATATACCACTTAATCTAATCAATTATCTTTCCAATTTTACTTAATTTGCTATTATTTATTTCGATTTCGCGAAAAACTTTTTTTTTCTTTTTTTTTATTTTCGCTATAGAAATTAATAATCATATTACGATATAGTATAAAAATATAATTCGTGGTATTAACGAATATTATATGTTATGACGATAATGATAACGCGAGTGTTAAATAAATCATCTCGCACCAAGATATTTGACACCTTCCAGGCTGAAAACCTGAAAGTTGTGTTCGACGCTAAGGAGGTAAATGAGGTAAAATGTTCTCCGGTGATGGTGTATCATGCACATCATTGTTTCTCGACGTTACTCGCGAGCGATAAAAATTATTAGAGGCAGTAGAAGTGATGGTAGAACTGCTTGTAACCGTGCTTGTGATTCCAATGGCCGTAACCATTGGAACAGTACTTGTTGTTGTTGTATTTATTGAGATCGTCGTTACGATACAGGAGGTAGAATGATTTCGAGATGTCAAATTCGACCACATATGTGGATTTGTATAGCTAGAATCGGACGGTGAACAATCGGAATGACGAGTTGTCGCAGTACAATATATAGATGTTGACAATATAGTTGAAACAGAACCTGAAGATACAGTTACAGCAGTTGATATTGGTGGTGGTGGTGGTGGAGGTGGTGGTGGCGGTGGTACTGGTGTCGGTCCATTCGAGTCTGCTAAAGAGTCAATTACAGAACCATCCCATGGTTCCGCTGATTTTGCTTCCTCGTTATTTGGAACACTAACGGTTGACCTTTGTCGTTTCGCATCACCGTATAGTAAACAATGAACGTTTGGTGAACTGCTACGATCGCGAACACCCTCTTGTTCTTCCAGAAATCGGTCCATATAGTCCCTGCTTACGATTCAACGATCTTGTCATACTTCAAGTTTTCAATCGTAACATAAAAATGTAACAATAGAAACTATATAATTCGATCAAAATTTAATTGATTACAAGTTTATTTAATAGAAAAGAAAAATAAAAAAAAAATATATAATTATTATAATAATTTAAATTTATAAACGTATAAATATATATTTTTTTTATGTATATATATATTTTAATATTATAAAGCAGAGAAAATACTCACGTGATACCAGGATGCAAAGCATATTTTTTCTTTTCTAAACGAGCTTTGTATGTAAATATATCATGTCTTTCTGTTTTCTTCCAAAGATAATAAAATTGCACTAATTCTCCAACAGATCGCGTTCTAACCTATTATAATAATTTACGTTATATATATATTTCTTACCATAAAATAGTTCAAGTTTATACTTGATGCATACCTTATTTTTTTGTATAAGATGAAAATCTTTTCCATAACTTCGTAATCCAGATTCAAAATTATGACATTCTTCTTCCGACCATAGACTAACTGCATCCGTTGGTGGTACGACGTTCATTCTTCGTCTCCTTAATGCTTCTTCAAGATTATAGCCACATTGTAACAATAAATATAAGGCTTGTTCGTCATCTCTGATATGAGATCCTGTAGGAAGAGAACCACCTTTTACAGCTGGTAATTGTGCTCTTTCTAAAAACTCTTCAGTTTCCTCTTCAGGTATATGGCTAGGATCCCACAACATCTTATCCTCATTTTCATAAGGTAAAGCATCATCATAATGGCAAAGACCTTCTGGTATAGCCGCTTGATAATTAATACCAACCATGATTGTCTTCTTCCATTCTTCTTCATCTGGACTATAATCACAATCATCTTCTTCTTCTTCGCTTTGTGGTCGTGAAACGCTTCTTAGTAATCTTGATGTGCCTATACCACTACTAACTATTCCATCTTCTCCTCCATCTACCATACCACTGCTAACATTAATTTCCACTCCACCACCAGTATTATCATTTGTTGTACAGCTAGCAAGTGCGGTTATACTGCTACATTTAGTAGTATTACCACCAATAGTTGAAGTTGTTCTTGTGCTTTCATTGTTACTACAACCATCCATCATAGAACATTCTTCCACTTCACCTTCTTCATCATCTTCATCATCATCATGAATTCTATGTCGTCTACTATTATCTCCGGTACCTACACTATTGGTATTATTTCCTTTCATTGTTGATCCTGATACTAATGACGACGAATCTTTTCCTTTTACCAACATTTCTGTATAAAATTGCTTGAGATCTGGTTCATTACTAGTTGCATCCGCTTCATCATCATCTTCATCATCATCTGCGTCATTATCTCCTTTATCTGAATATTGTCCTTCAATTTCTGGATCACCGCTTCCAGATGGAATTAACATTCGGTCTGAACTGTTTGAATTTTCCGTTGATGGATCCCCGTATCCATACATCGCAAGTAGGTCTTTTAGTGGCATATCACCTTCCTGAAAGAAGACAAAAACACAAATGATTACCATGCCACATATAACAAACAGACTAAACATACGAATCTCACTACGAGAACGCACTTTGAGTCCAAAGTGTTGTAGAAACTTATCATAATTGTAATTATTTATGGGCTTGATTTTTTCATTTCACAGGCTTGATCCTAGAATAGTTGGGATCAGAAACTTGTTACAAAATGAACATTGCATATGTTAAATATTTAACTCATTCACCTCAGAATTATACCTTTTGTAAGTTGGACAACTCGTTGTGAGAATCTTCACTACCTTCTAAAGCTTCTTCTTCATCTAAAGTCCGCTCATCATCAAAATCATTTATCATCATTTCTGTAGCTGGACCCATATCATAATCTCGATCTGCCCTACAAAATATTAAATATATAAAACTATATTTATGTTTTATTTTTGTATTAATTATGAATTATAGAAAATATCAAAACTCGATCGCTAATTTATTTCTACTAACATGTTTATGTTTCTTGCAGTAATCAAAGTAAAAACATATCACGTAGATATTTGGAGATTGTATCTATTGTATACACTGCACAATGCACACTATGAAAATGATGAAGAAGAATGTCCTTGAACTATTTATATTGTTGATTTTTTCTAGTTCTATTGATTTATTTAAACACTTTTATCATATAAACAAAATAATATATTAAGAAATAATAACACACAGAATATAAATTATAACGTATATCTAACCTTACATTCTTATAATATTAATGCTGATTTTACATTCATGAAAACAACTTATTTTTTATCAAACAATATAATATCAATGAATTATATTTTAGTTTTGTTGTTTTTGGCACTCCGTATTATATTGAATTTCACTACACATCACTAAAAATCTTTGATTATAATGTATATATTCACAAATATAGTAAATTTTTCGGCACAAAAGTTTCATGATATATCTAACATTTTTCTAAGGCACATTTTTAATCGATGACAAAACTATTTTAACTGTATCAAGAGAAATCGTACAAGATTCTCATAAATCTTGAGAAAAAAAATTGAAAAATGCACAATATATTATTTATATTCGTTAAATGTTCCATTACGCTTCTATAGCATTCTAAAAAGCGGGAAATTCGTGAAATTCATTAAAACAACCAATCACGAACATTTTAGATTATACAGACATACATTTTGCTATTGGTTGAAAAACATATTTTCCTAAATACATTTTTTTGCAATACTAGTTGTGAATATATTTATAGTATTATTTTATAGTACATTAAATTTTTAATAAAATTTTATATTTAAAAAGTTATTAAAATTTATTATATATATATATATATTTATATTATCATCAAACAAAAAAAAAGATAATATAATATTACAAACGATTCATATATGTCTTAATAACTGATATAAATTATACTTTCAAAATTAATAGAGATAGAGAAAATCATTAAAGAAAAATATTATAAAAGATAATAAAAAAATTTAGAATAAAATATATTTTGGAATTATTATACATTTTTATACATTGATATATCTAAAACAAATGATTGCATCTTTCTTTATATTTGTATATATGTTTTAATATATTCATGATTTTTAGAAAATCAATTCTAAAAGCCAATAAATACAAATGTACAAAAAATAAATACAAAAATATTTGAGGTTTATTTATTAAGTTATAAGTAATTTAAATTCGTGTTAAATAAAATATGATAAAAATAAAGTGCAACAGTGATATAATAATAAAATCTTTTTTTTTTGTTTTGTTTAATTGTTTACAAATAAACCTTAAATATTTTTAAATATTAATTTTTGTTTGTTTTGGTTTTTAAAATCGATCTTGCAGATGTATTATGAATATATTGACATTCTATATATGATATAACTATAGAGACTAATATTTTTATATAGTATGTCCCAAATGTCGATTATGAAAATTTCAATGATTTCTGAGGCGATTTCAAATAATTTTTTCCAAAAATTATTTACCAAAATTTTTGTTTCAATTTTATTATTTTATATCATGTGATTATTTAGTTTTTATGCCTTTTGATAATTTTTGACGAATAGAATCCAAAAATGTTAATTTTAAGTTTAGGAACTCACTGATTCAAAAATTATTCGTAAGTAAAGTCAATGAATAGAATATCATTTATTGATTTATATTCACAATTCATCCAATGAACGGAGTTATAGATTGCATTTGAGTAATGACTATTTAGGCGCGATAAGTCAAATTTGACTGTTAGATTATACAAGTTTTGTTTCTCTGATTAGTTTGCACAAAATATAATAATACAATTACAAACATTGTTTATTCAATATAAGTTGATTCGATATTGAAACAAAAATAACTTACCAAAATAATAATTATTGAAATTACCGGCCGCCGTAGGCGGCCGGAAAAAGAATATGACCTAACCAGTAACTTTGAAGATGTTATTTAATGGATTGTAATGGCTATCATTCACATGCAGACAGTGACTCCGCTCATAGGACGAACTGGAAAATAAACCAATATGGTGTCTTGTAACCTGTCAAAAAGTGCTTAAAAAGCACTAATTTTATATAGAAATAATTTTTAAATTAATGAATTTCTAAACTTAAAATTAATATTTTTGGATTTTAATCATCAGATTAACTACTATTAGAAAGCACAAAAAAGAGTTAATAAGTTTTAGTGCTCCAAAATAAAGTTTAGGCTATTATCTATTTAAATTAATAATATTATAAAAATATACAAGAAAATATATTTTATCTATTAATATTTTACTTTTTATATTATACAAATATTTTATATTATTACATATTTTTTATAAAGTTGTGTATATAGTGTGTAATTGTAAATAAAAATTATAAAATAAATACAATATGCTATCTTTTATATTAAAATATAATTACTTTGAAAAGAAACTAGTAAGATTCGTAAATTTCACATATTAACACATATTTAATATATAATTAATATAATAATTTCATAATCATATTAATATTTATATTTTAGATTGATCAAGATAAAGTACAATTATTATTACAAACATCAAGGTAATATTTCAATATTTAATTATAATATTATTATTAACAATGAAATATATTTAAATAATGTAAAAATATATATATACTTATTTTAGAAGAATATCTACAAAAAAAAATGAAGAATATCAATATATTGAAAAAAGTAAAACTCCAACAATGCATTTTCAATTATCTCTACCACGTTTGCCTATTCCAAAATTAGAAGATACATGTAGAAGATATTTAAATGCACAAAGGCCATTGTTATCTAAAGAACAATTAAAGAAAACTGCAATTTATGTTAATGAATTTCTGATCAAAGATGGTATTAAATTACACAAGAAACTAATTGAAAAAGATGCTAAAAATTATAATACTAGTTATATTAGTGAACCATGGTTTGATATGTATCTACGAGATCGTAAACCTTTACCTATCAACTATAATCCTTTCTTAGTTCTTGAACCAGATTCAAATCCAGAACAAAATATACAATTAGTAAAAGCTACAAATCTTATTATATCATCATTACGATTTATGAAGTCATTAAAAGAAAATATTTTACAACCAGAAATATTTTATTTAAAATCTGAAACAGCTCATAATAATATATTTCATATTATTACAAGATTTCTTCCTTCTGAATTTAGATGGTATGGAGCTTATTTATTTAAGGTAAAATAATTTTATCACAATTAAAAATAAATAAATAAAATAACTTTTTTTAAAATAACATTTCTGATAAAAATTTATTATTTTAGGCCTTCCCTTTAGATATGTCACAATATCATAATTTATTTAATACAACAAGATTACCAAAATCAATAAAAGATGAAATTTATGAAAATACAATTGGAAGACATATAATTGTAATGAGAAAAGGACATTTTTATTCTTTTGATGTAATAGATAAAAATGGTTATATTTATCAACCAAATGTAATAGCTAATTGCTTAAAATCTATTTTAGAAGATACCTTATTAAGTAATGAAACTCCTATTGGTATACTTACAACATCAGAACGTGATTTTTGGGCCAAAACCAGAACATATTTATCACAAATTGGTAACCAAGAAATTTTACAAAAAATAGATTCTGCTATATTTGTAATAATATTAGATGATATTTATGTTGGCACTGACTATAATGAGTTAATTAGGACATATCTCCATGCGGATGGAACAAACAGATGGTTTGATAAATCATTTTCTTTAATTGTTACACAAGATGGATATGCTGGAATAAATTTTGAACATTCATGGGGAGATGGAGTAGCTATATTAAGATTTCTTAAAGTAAATATTAATTTTTTTTTCTTTTTCTAGAAATGAATTAAAAAATTTTTAGTATTAATTTTTTTTTCTGCTTTAAGAATGTAAAATATGATATTACAAAACAGCCAAAATTTTCTGCTGATGATATCAAATATCTTCAAAAAGAAGAAGTGGAAAAGCTCAATTTTATTATAGATAGTAAAATACAAAATATTGTGTATACACAAAAAAAAAAATTTGAAAAATGGATTGAAAATTTAAGTGTTGATCATATAATATTTAATGATTTTGGTAAAAATGAATGTAAAAGATTTGGTTTAAGCTCTGATGCAATTATGCAATTAGCTTTTCAGTTAGCTATATATTATCAAAAAAATTGTGTAGTACCAACATATGAATCTTGTAGTACAGCTGCATTTAAACATGGTCGTACTGAGACTCTTAGATCATGCACAATGGAAACAAAAAGAGCATGTGAAGCCATAGCTCAGAAAAATAATAATTTATCCATGTCCGAATTAAAAAATTTAATAATTAATTGTAGTAAAGTTCACAGTGAACTTTCTAAAGAAGCTGCTATGGGTAATTATAAAATGTTACATATATTATTATTAAATTTTATATTATAAAATATAAACATTAATAGAAAAATAATGAAGAAATGATGAATAATTAAAAATATATTTATATTTATTATATCCTTTTTTATAGGACAAGGATTCGATAGACATTTATTTGCATTAAAAAAAATTTGGGAATATTCAAATTCTTCAAAACCAGCTATTTTTGAAGATTCTGCATATGATAATATAAATAATAATATTTTATCTACATCAACTCTTTCAGATCCAATTATATATGCTGGTGGTTTTGGACCAGCAATAAAAAATGGATATGGAATTGGGTGAGTTTTCTTTATTATCTTTACAAATATATCATTTGCAACTTGATAACATACATAGTTTTGAATATTTTATTTACATATAATCACTTTAATATTTAGATACATGATACAAGATAAGAGATTGGGAACTATCGTGACAAGTTATAAAAATAACAGCAACGCTAGTGAATATGTGAAGTGCTTAGAGAAGGCATTTAAAAATATTCACTCTATAATGATTTATGGAAAATGATAGTATTATATATAATCAATCATTAGATATCAAGGATAGCAAGAATTTTTTTGTAATACTATTGATATATATATATAAGTCTTGAATTTATATATAATATTTGTTAAGAATTTTTATATTTTTATTAAAGAACTTTTTTTTATATTATCTAATAAAAAAAATCAACTCATAAATAATATTATATATAGTATATTTTATATATACATGAAACATATATCATATATCATATTTATTTCATATAATATTATAGTTAAAAAATATATATACAGTAGAGAAGCATTCAAAAAAGAGTGTGTTATGATCATACTCAAAATATTTTAAATAAAAGATTCTGTTGAAATAATGAACTTTACAATATTAAAAATAATTATTTATACACAAAAATTTATAATCAAAAATTGTGAAAATTATACAAATTAAAATCTATTCATAATAAAACTACATATATATATTTGTTCAATATAAAAACAAAATATTAATCTTATATAACAAAAATTTTAAATTGATTTAAACATAATAATTTTTATTTTTATATTTTCATTTCAATCATCACTAAGTGATGAAAGATAATGAATCTAAAAAATATTTTATGGATATTATATAATATTACTATTTATTTTAATAATTTATACTTTATTTCCCATCTTTACTTTAGATGTCTGCAAATTTATATGAATTAATTAGAATTTTAAAAAACAAAAATATCTTCATTAAATAACTTACCATATAAATTCCAACAATTAATCCAAAAAGTCCAATGGCAGAACCAAATATTTCTACAATAAGAATTTTAACAAAAAGTGCAGAATTTGCTGCATCAGAAAGGGCTGCACCAGAACCAACAATGCCAACAGCTATACCACAAAATAAATTAACAAGACCAACAGCTAAACCTGCTCCAAACATTAAATAACCAGCAAACCAATTTTGATCACGAACTTCTTCCTTTTGAATAGCTTCAGCAGTAAATTTTTCTAACATTCCAGATAATACAATGGCAGTAATCAAACCATAAATAGCTACAGCTTCACAAAATATTACTGAAATTAAATTTTTTGTTTTAATTCTTGGTGCTTTTACACCACCTCCAATAATTGAAACTCCTGTTGTATGTATTCCCCTGAAATAATAAATTTATATTACATTTTAAATATAAGTTATTTATAAAAAAATTAAACTTACAATGCAGCACCAACAACAGATAAAGCTACTGCAAGTCCAATACCAAGAGTTGCCCACATATATGGTGAGGTATTTTCTAAAAACCTAATAATATTCTCTTAACAATATTTTATAATATATATAACCTTAAATAAAAAAAATACCAAATTTAAATGTGCTTTACTTACCATGCAATACTAACACGCTCACCTTTTCCAGTAAATACATGATACAATACTACAAGAAAATATTATTTAAAATATAAATTTTATAAAGATAAAAAAATTACATAATTAATTAATAATATTTACAGTTAATTTTATTTTCTTTGAATAATTAATTGTTAAATTAATTGTTTAATATTTTATTTAAAAATAAAAGTCAATACCTAATACTACAATTGTTGCTGAAGCAGTACCCGCAAAAGTAGTACCCAAAATGTATCTCATTATGCTATTTTTGTTTCGTTGTTATATATAATTCTTAAGAAAAATGAAAAAACTTTAATAAATAATTGACTTTAATTTTAAAATATAACTTGATGATATAGTTTCATAAATATTAAGAATAAGAACACTTTATATACAAATTAAGAGAAAAGCGCTCACACCCGCTTTTATCATGTGACGTTTACTCTTAATGGTTACTTATACTACACTAGTGACATCAACTGTAAAAAAGTGGTATCAAACAATGTTTAAATTTTAATTTAGAATCCAAAAACTTATAATTATTTTAAATATTTTACAAAATATATATTTTGATTCATAAATGAAGTGAATTCATAATTGAAAATATTAAAATATATATATATTGTTATTAAATTATCATTATATAATTTATTTAGAATGTTAAAAGATTTTTTTATTAGTAATGATATAATAATGAATAATGAATTTTATTTTATTTGTTTATTATATTTTTTAATGATCTTATATTAAAATATAAATATAAATATAAATGTGTCATGAATATATCCCAGTACGAAATCTAATATCTAATTTTAGAATTTATCGCAGCTCATTTGTCTTCTATTTATAATAAAAATACGAGTGTTAATTTAATAGTATAATTATACAATTTATTAATATTTTAAACAATCATGTCTGTCGCAAAAGGGTAAGTAAACAATTTTTTTTATGAATTTTCATATATTTAAAAAAATATATTTTATTCTTTATTTCAAAAATTAAATTAAATAATTAAATTAAATGTATAAATTAAATCAATAAAAAGTTTTAATTTGCATAATAAAAAATATTAAAAAAATTATGTATAAAAAATGATATCAAAGATATATAAAAATTATTATTCGAACTATGTGTTAATATATATAGTTATGGAATATTTTTGAAGGGTTAATTCAAGAGTTCAAAAAAACACAAAAATTAATAAAAATATTAATTGTAGCTTATTTATTAAGTTATAAGCATTTTAAATTCGCATTAGATAAAATAAATGAAGCAATAACAAAATATAATAGCGGTGTAACGAAATCAGAATGAATCTCCCTCTTTTTGTCTCACTTCATTTGTCTATAATTCAACCGATATTTGTGTATATTTTATATTTAACTTTTATATTTGTTTTGATCTTTAGAATTAATTCTTTAAGAATGTTTCATGAAATATAATATAATATAATATATAATATAATATAAAATTATAATATATTTTAATCTTAATTAACTTACATTGACAAGAGATCTAAAATCATATAATACAATTATTAACATTAAATGCAAAAATAAAAATTATTTATATCAATTATATGTATCATTTATATCAATTATTATGTATCAATGATGAATATATATGTTAATATATATTCTATATGATTGAAACTATGATTGAAATTTTTCATAGGTATATCAACTTTAGTGAATTTTTTAAGATTGCTTATGATGCTGTCATAGAGCCATATGCAAATAATTTCAAGAAATTTTCTGAAAATGGAGATAGAGAAGAAATGATTAAAGTCCTTATAAGCATACCGAGTATTGAAAATATAAAAATTATTGAATCATATAAGGGTAAGGATGATATTAAAGCAGCAGAACTTTGTAACAAAAATCGCGAAATGATAGTTAAAGATGGAATTGTGCACGAAGAAACAAATAAAAGTAGTATCCTTACCGAAACACTGTTTAAGGCCAGTGTAAGTAGTAAATTGTTTCTAGATGCGCTTTTAGATTGCGCACACTATTATTATAATTCGAAAGCTTTTGTAAAATGCTTAAAATATTGTGAATGCATGCTTGCACTTCCTGAAAATCTTTACAATACAACTACTGAAAGTATAAACGGTTTTTTGGAACATAGAAAAGCATGTATGCAATTAGAACGTGAATGCTATAAAAGTTTGAAAGAATCATCTTCTCAGGACAAAAGATTGCATAAAAAATACAGTAAAAATCAAAATACTTCCTTCGAGATAGCAAATTATGTACCAATAATTCCTACTCTTAATGGGAAACAACATACTATTCTTAAAAGTTGTTCAGATGCTGTTACTTTACAATTTGATGAAAAACGAGGTCGACATCTTATAGCTACCAAGAACATCAAAGCAGGATCTGTTCTTATTGTTGAAACACCATTTGCTTTCAGTACAAATAAAGAAGCACTTGGTAGAAATTGTTTACATTGTCATATTACTCTAATGTCGAGTAATAGTGTTAAAATTCCTTGCCATTATTGTCAAACAGTTAGTAGGATAAATAATTTTAATTCATTTATATTGTTTTATATTTATTTTTTCGTATTTTAATTTACTAATATATATTGACTATTTCTAAAATATGATTAAATTTATACTTCTACAGGTATCTTTTTGTTCGGAAAAATGTCGTAGTAAAGCGTGGCAAATATATCATCAGTATGAATGTTTCATATTTGATGCTTTCTTTGAAAATGATTCCGAACAAATACAACGAAATACTTCATATTTGTTGTTAGCTTATAGAATGATAATTTCAGGATTTTTATCTTCAACTGAACAAATTAACAATATCGAAAAAAAAAAATTCCTTTTCTAAACAATAATTTTCTTCAATATTATGTTACAAATATAAATAAAGAACGTAGTAATTTAGGAACAAATGAAATTTATAATCCTTACGATTATCGTACTATATTAAATTTAGAAACTCATTGTACAAAAATGGAACCTAAAACAAATCTCATTCGTGCTATCGAAGCTATATTTTTAGCAAAGTGCTTTACTTTTGTCTTGAGTAAAATGGATGTTATTTATTTAAAAGAATCCTTCATCTCTTTGGCAGTAGCAATATTGCATCACTTACAGGCTATTAATTGTAATGCTTATGAAATTGTGGAAAATATATATGACAAAAAAACACATATTTGGGAACCAAGACAAATAGGTGGAGCAATTTATCCTTCGGTTAGTCTTATAAATCATAGTTGTTATCCAAATGTTGTTCGTCATACTTATCCATCAGGTAAAAATTGTGTTCTTAATAAATGATTCTCTATATTTTATATATTACAAATAAATTTGAATAATTTTTCACAGGAATAGTTGTAGTAAGAACATTACGTTTTGTTGGTAAGGGTACAGAAATTCTTGATTGTTATGGACCACATTGGCTTAGTGAAAACAAGTTATCAAGAATCGAATATTTATGGAAAAAATACCGTTTTCTATGTACATGTGATGCGTGTATTCAAAATTGGCAATATCCGTTACCCGAAATAATGAAATATAAGTGTAAAACATGTTTAGAAATTATTGGCATAATTGCATTAAATGAAAAACATATGCAAAATATATTAAACAAACAATGTAATTGTACTAAGACAATTAATTTAAAAAAGATAAAAAATCAACTTCAAAAATCAGTTAAAAAAAGATTAAATGCTATTTCTAAAATGCATGAAGGCCATTATGAACAGCCTCTTCTTCAATTACTTGAGCATATACAATTTATTGAAAAATTTTTTATCACACCCAATATGGAGACTATCAAAACACAACAATGTATTATACAGTGTTACAATCAATTTGCTTGTACCTCTCAATAACAAAAGGCAATAAAAATTACTAATCATATATAATATATATCATATGCACACACGAGTAAACACACAACATACACATAGCTTTGGATCTGTATCACAAGTAATCATAAATAAGATCCTTATTATCTTTTACATTAACTACTATTAATTTTTTCATGCAGTGCAAAATGTTACAAAATATAACAAACTGCTTTATATCTATGATCGTTTATATTTGCTTTTATATTTCTTATAAAAAAAAGTTAATTTTTTTAATATAAATATTTGCATAACTTTAGAAAAGCTTTTAAAATAAAATTATGGCAACATTATTATAAATTATGGTATCATTGTTATAAATGGTAATATTTTGATTATTTAATATCAAAATTTATTATAAATGCAGGTGTGATTGTATTTTATTTTTTATACCAATGAAATAAAACTAAAAAAAATCTTAAAAACTACTATAATTGTAAACATTATTTGCATGAAAAATACAAATTATATACAGTGTTTAGACATATATGACTTCATTTGTCAGTTTATTAAACCAAACTGTCTAAATTGAACTATAAATTGATCATGTAAATAATAGATAAATTCTATTACCACATATGCGTTTCTCGAATTTCACTAATAATATGACCAGCTTGCGTTAATGCCTATAATAAAAACACATAGATCGATAAATTGTTTAGAACTTTAAAATATATTATATAAAAAAATATTATCATTTATATGATAAATATGAAGATATATACTTTTAGCATATCTGCTGCTTCTTTGCGTCTAACAGCAACATGTTCACTTTCATTTAAAAGAACTTCAGCATGATGTGATTTATATAAATGTGTTACAAGCTCACTTTGTAAGTTATCTTTTACATAGTTAACTAAGAAATGCATGACAGCTTTTGGTACACTATCTTGTATAGATTTTCGTACAATGTAAAAGTATGATTTTATCAATCTTTCTGTAAATAAAATATATAAATAAAATAATATAAATAAATGATATAAAATATTATTTAACAAAAAAAAAAAGAAGTTTCATTTCTATCCATACCAATCACATCACAGTCTCGTTGTTCTCGTTCGCTCAGTTTACGAGATGTTTGCACCGGTACTTCAGGTAACAGATTTACAGGTTTTTGTTGTGAAGATGCTTTCTGTATCTCAATTATTGGATTTGAATTTGAATTTGGATGGGGAGAAGAACTGCTCTCACGATTTCTTACCGGAGAACCATCAATCGAACTAGTTGAATCAGTTCTTCCTTGAGGTATAAGATTATTTAACAGCCAATTGCTTAAAACCATTTGATGTCCTTGTTGATCTTTATTCTGTTCAGGTAAAGATGCCACTTCTTCTTGATTATTAATTGATTTTACATTCTATTAGAAATGTATATGTGTTAGTTACATAACACACAGAACAAATTGATTAAAAAACACTTAAATATTATATCATTTAATAAAACATAAAATTATTATGTTTCTTATATATATTATCTATATATTATACACATATTGTTTAAAATATAATAAGAAAAAATATTAATACAAACAAAATATAAATTAATGAATATTATTAATGATTATAAATATTATTAATAATTACTTACTGCTTCATTTGAAGTTATATTACTTGATGTGGTATTTGTAGTAGAAGGAACTTTCCTATTATGTTTTATATGATCTACATTAGAATTTTTTAATAAAGATGATACAAGAGCTGCATCTTTATGAAAATCTGGATGCTTAGTATTGATATATGCTAATTCTATAGCAACTAAATTTTCAACCATTTGATTAGTAGGTGGGAGACGTCGACGTAGTAATTGCGTTACAACATCAACAATACGTTCATGTAATTTTGGAAAACGTAACATTTCTTGCTGTACTTCAGTACCACAATGTTGAATAATTCTTTGCATTTCTTCATGTACAAGTTCTACACATCGTAATGATGGTTCTTCGAGTCTTCGAATTTGTCGTTTAACTAATAATTCAAAGGAAACCTCTGGTACAAATAGAGCAGGTCTTGGACCAGTTGCATTTCGAATAGCCGTTAAAATATCCATTTTTGTAAGACCTGCCAATGGATGTATGGAATCCAGTGTTTTTCCAAATGTTTCATGAAATATATAACAAATTCGAGCACCACCACATAATTCTGTTGTTTCTATGTTTCTAGCTGTTCCTTCAATTGTGGAACAGTAACTGCTTGCAAATTTAGTAATTATTTGAAGTAAAGTTTGACTTTTGTCACTAACATCCTCACCATATGAATTAAGAAGGGTTTGAAATTGTGAAACCATCACATTTACTCTCGTCTGTTTTTAAAAAATATAAGTTCTACCAAATTATGCCTATTTTAGTTTTTCTAGCTATGTATGACAAATTGTTACTTATTCAAAAATTCTCTATTGTATTACCTTTAATTCTGGAAGACAATCCCGAATATGATGCATCAGTAAACGGTTTAGAGTTTTAGCTAAATAAGGAGTTCCATTTCTGTTTGCTAAAGTAGGATATTTACGTTGCAGAAATGCAGCTTCATCTTTTAATGCATCTTGAATACTTTTATTATTCATAATATCTTGCTGAGAACGGTTAACTACACCAATAATTCCTAATTTTACAGGTATAACTCTTCCACATAATATATCTATAGCATCAGTTCCTGCAATATTATACAATAATATTTTTACAAATTAAAAGAAATTATAAAAATTTTAAATAATAATAAATGTACTAATAAAAATTACCAGCATCCATAAGATCCAATTTAGTAACAACAGCTAATGTACGTCTTCCATCTGGATCCACATCTTTACTAAGTTTTAAACTTTCACTTGTAGCCATATCAGTATTTGCAGTAACAACAGCTAATATAATAGAATTAGGATTACATATATATTTTAAAACAAGTTGCCGTATTTGACTTTCAATATCCTCTGGTTGGTCACCAACTGGTACTTTTGTAATACCAGGAAGATCAATGAGAGTTAAATTAACAACTGATGTTGAATATATTTTTAAATTAATTGGTTCAGGACAAATTCCTTTGTTAGATCCAGCCATGCGTTCTGTTTCAGATTCTATTTCTTTACGAATTTCACTAAAATCTGTATAAATTTTATTTTTAGTATGTAAAAATGTGCCCCATTCATCTAGATCTAATGTTCCATTTTCTGCACTTCGATGTTCACGATCATCTTTGGGTGTATAAACAAGTTGCAATATTAAAGGACGTCTAGTAACTATACCAGTACCTCTAGGTAAGAAAGATCGACCAACCAGACTTTCTATTACAGATGATTTTCCTGAACTCTAAAAAATAAAATTATATTTACTGCAACATATCAATATCATAAGTAAATTTTTAATTCACAAAAAATTTATTATAAATCAAATTATTTATAAATCAATTAAATAAATTTTAGATTATTCAAATGTATTTTTATTTTTAGAAAAAAAATTTTAATTTAGATTATAATTATAAACTATAAATCTTCTATTCATTCAAAAAGTTTTAACTGACCTGTGTACCAAGTACTACGATTTGCGGTAATTGTATAGCATCAGCACCAACAGTATTAAACACATCTTGTAATTTATTTATTACAGGTATCAAAGCTTCCATTATAAAGTAAATGAAAGATAAATCGATCAAGACAGTTATGCGATACGAGCCGGTGTAAGAGCTCTTTTATTATAAGTAAATCTATAATTACATAAGCTTATAATAGACTTTCAATTTTTAGAAAGTATAATTTTTTACAATTAATATTATTTATTGTATTAATTTTTTCTATATTGATATTTTTTTTCTTTTCACCACAAAAATTCTACATTTGCTGTTTCCAACCACCTTTTCTCTATTCCATAATCTACACGCGTGCGCATGCTATAATATTTTACATATTAAAGTGTATGTATGTATAAATCTCATAGTTAAAGTTTAATTGTTTCTACTACGTAAAATCTGTTTTAGAAAAAGTTTTTTTTATTGTTTTTTTTATAATTTTATTTAAAAAAATATAATTAACTAAGATTTTATAAATATATATCAATAGTTATTTTTAAATATGAAATATAATGATTAGAAAAATATAAAAATAAAATTTAATTGATTTGACAGAAATAACATGAAAACTAGCCAAAATGATGGATAAAATAGAATATAAGAAAATGGCGTTATTACTAAAGAATCGTTGCGATTTGTAAGTACTTCTGTGTCGTAGTCTATGACTATTATAATTCGTCATCACTGTGACAGTTCATTCTAGAGCGGGGATCACCCGCTCAAGATTACAAATTTTGCGATATTGATTAACGTAAGATGGGTGACTCCTTAGACGGCACCGGGGAACCGTCTCCGGAGGCTCAAATTGTTATAATTGTATCATATTCAACATTCGCTAATTATTTAAAGAAAGTCGTAACGGTCCTGCTACCCGATGAAGATGTGGTTCCACCCGCATTTAATTCTGCTCTCGAAGATAAAAGCAATCAAGAATGTATAAGAAAATTCTTAGGTGACTCTCAAGTATGGGCGCTTTACATACAAAGAAGTTCTAGTAAAGGTACGTGAATTGATTTATAATGAATAATTAATTAATTATTGTTAAGAATTTTGCATTTTGCTCTTATATGATATCCTCCATTGCAGTATTTTAATACAACGGTACTTGCATCAAACTGCGACAGGAAATATATTCTGAATATTATTGTTGAATATTTAATACATTTAAACCCTTTATAAATATGACTCATACTTAATTTAATCAATACATGTAAATGTCATTATTACATTCTTTTTTATTAATTTTATTATATATATAATAGTTTACTATATGAATTATAATATGATATATAGTTTAATATGAATTATATTTTTGGCAGATATATAATTATATTTTTATATTTAATATTAAATTATATTATATTTTCAAATAATAAGTTAAATATATATATATAAATGAATTATTATATATTATTTTAATGTTCTATATTATATATCTATAACTTTAAAGTAAATTATAATTGTATTATTATTAAATAATATGTGTAATCTCTAAAAAGAAATATTTATTTTATGATTTTAAATTACATAACTTTTGAAAATATGAATTGATTAAATTTTTTATTT